ACCCTCCGCTTCCGCAGCGGGGTCCGCCCCTCCAGATCGCCCGAACTGCTCGGACTTCTGCGTCCTTAAAGGCAAAAGAGGTGTGGAAAGAGAGCCCACCTCCTAGCGTTATTGTAAGGATGAGAGCTTGAGAAGAAACAGATGAGAAAACCGAGGCGATGAAGGGGAGAGACGGAGAGACAAACCGTGAAGGAAGGCGACTGCCAGCAGAGAAGGGGTGGTAGTGAGTAGTGAAGTAGAAACGTATGGAGATGGTTGTCCCAGGGTCTGAAGTGCTGGAGCTAGTGAGTGGTGGCTCCAGGTCCCAGCAAGGAGCCCATGGAATGAGAAGTGACCAGGAGAGAGGCCCGAGGAGACAGAGCCCTTGAGGAGTGGGGGCCAGGGGAGAGCACAGAGGGAGGCAAATGTCCAAGTGAGGTCCACGAGCCCTGGAGTAGCTGGAGGGTACCAGGGGAAGGAAAGAAGGAGACACTGAGGAGGGAAGAAGAGTTGACCCCAGGAAAGGAGAGGGTGGAGGAGGAACAGCTGGGCAAGTCCAGAAGAGGCCAGAGGGCAGAGAGGAGCCCTGCTTTCCTGGGCCCAGCAGCCCGCTGTTCCTTGGTTCATAGAACCAGCCTCTTCTTCAGGTCCCCAGTGCCTGTGCTGTCATTAGTTCAATCTGTCATTAGTTCAATGGGGACTTAGTCCTTTAGCTGGAAAGAGCCCTGTGTCCAGGAGGGGCTGGAAAGGACAGGCAATGACTCCTCTGCAGGTTGGGTCTCAAGGGATGGAGTCTTGTCCCTTAGCCAACTCCTATGAAGTACAGGTGAGATTCTGGAACCAATTGGAAATGTTTGGTTAGGGTGTCTTTGGGAGAACTCTCAAGGGCAGTGGTGGATTGGAATCCTGGCTTAACCTTTCACTGGCTGTGGGAACTCACACAGAAACAGTACCCTCTGGTGGTCTCAGTTCCCTCTTCTATAAACTGTGATGAACAGTGCCCTTCACCACATCTGACCCAGAACAGCCACCCAATAACACTCACTTTCTACGTTCCCTTGTCCCCGTATTGGTGTGGGAATCACACCAAGTGCGCATCAGACATAATGTCCACTGTTCAGGACAGACTAGAAGTCGTGTCTAGAGACCTTCCCTCATAACTCTGAGAGGCAGAAGACCTTGACAACATTGGGACTATGAAGTGGGCAATATAGAGGGTGGAGAGCATCCTGCCATTGAAAAGAGGCAAGTAGAGGGCTGGGGATGTGGCTCAAGAGGTAGCACGCTCGCCTGGCATGCGTGCGGCCCGGGTTCAATCCTCAGCACCACATACAAAGATGTTGTGTCCGCTGAGAACTAAAAAAAAAATAAATATTAAAAATTCCCTCTCTCTCTCTCTCTCTCTCTCTCTCCTCACTCTCTCTTAAAAAAAAAAAAGAGGCAAGTAGGGGCTGGGGATGTGGCTCAAGCGGTAGCGCGCTC